ATTTAACCTGCTTTTTCTTTGTGTTGTTCGCATGTTCTCCCTGTATGGATTTTGTCCCACAGTGCAATGACACAGCTTGGTTTACTGGGGATTTGTCCATGTATCTGTAACTATCTGACAACTTGTCCAGCATCTATCTTGCTCAGTGTCAACTGGGAGAAACCCCAGCCCCCTCGAAGATAAGTTAGTTTGGATTATGGGTGGATGGACTATTTTTACTCTGTAGAGTTGCCATGTCTTATTTGTTTTCCCTGTCATCCAAAACCAGACATTTCCATTTTGTTTATTTTTACTCTCCTGTTTTCTTCTCTTTTAAATTTTCAGGCCACTTCATTTCAAAGCGTTTTGTGTTCAGGCTCAATACAATAAAGTGAACTTGACTTTTACGCCAGACAGACAGGCAGGCAGGCAGTCTGGCGCTGGAGGGATTGAATGTCCGGGGCTCCCGGGCTGCCTTCCTGCCTTTTTCTCTTTTGTGATATCTCCAAGATGCCTGTCAAACTTTAGAGGAAGGCAGCATTGAGGAAAGAAAGAAGGGGGGGAAAAAACTCACTTTGTACTGAGGTTGTCAGCAATACTTCTCTGTGCCCCCCTTTCTGAGGGAAACACAAAGAGAGTCACTAATCCCGAGCTCAAAGAGCGCTAGCCTTCCTGTGTAATTACAGAAGCAACACAATACTCTGTCTTATGAGCTATTACTGCTGCCACACGAGACGCAGGGCGAGGAGAGCCAGAGGTGGGGCGGGCAGGCACAATGAACCAGACCGAGATGGTATCAAGTTCGGTCAAATTACTATTAAAGGAATGCCCTGGCATCCAAACACACAAACACACTGGCTCACACACACATTGTGCAGTTAGACATGAACTTTCTATCCTGAGTCCAACCTCTGAGATTCTACTCTCTGCTGATGGAAGCCAGTGCATTGCTGAGTGCTGATGTCACAGTCACCTCTCTCTAATTTTGTGTTATTTTGTGCCGGCAGCTGCAGCTGAGTAACCAAAATCTCCAAATTGCTTTTCTCTCCAGGGACAGTGAGCCCTTTCACCCTGAAAATCTGCGCTCGCCCTGCTGCACAGTCACAGGCCTTTCACAGGAGCTGCCTGCTGCATGGCCGAGGACAGAGGGCCCTTCACAGCTGCCGTGTTACTTCCAACCGGGCTTCAACACAACCTCTCACATCACAGTTGTGGTGGCTGTATGTGCAAGTCAGATATTGCCGCAGGAATCTGATTAGATTCAAGATTGGAGCCAAAGACAATCATTTAGATTCCATGTTCCAGCTCTTCTGTGGCAGCTTTACTCTGTCTGCAAGAAAACTTCGCACCTCTGTACCACAGATGTGAAATTTGAGTTTCGGACATTTGAGGACACAATAAAATCAGGGAATGTGTCTCACTGTAAGGTAAACCATGACAACACACCACATTACAAGCTTCCCAAGAAAATATCCTCTCGCTGTAGATGTAACGAATTCAAATCTGATGATATATGACAATATGTATCCCTGACCAACCCAGGACAGATTTGCTCTGCTCAAAGTGATCAGCATTAACCAAGATGATGTAACACTTCAATAGATCCCAGTCGAGATGATGAGTTATAATTTGTGGAGGTCCAGATTATGATTAGGAACCAGTGCCAAGCTCTCCTCTGGTCTACTCCCCTGGACAGGAACCACCACACAGAGCTGGAACCACACGCTCTTTATTTATCATTGGTCAGCCATGCAGGCGAAATCCCTCACACAGAGCCTGGTGGAAAACCTCATTCCAGAGCTGACAAAACCTTGTGCTCCCACTCCCACTTCTCTCGATGCCACAACTCCCATCTCTCTCATACTGTCAGCATCATGGTATATCCAGGGATTATGTTTGAATCTATTAAACTGTTATAAGTGGTTTCACTCTCACACAGGTGACATAGCAGAGTTGTGGTTTCAGAAGTGGTGGGCACACAAACCAGTGTCAAGATTTTGTAGTTCTTCAGATTATATGATGTTCCAGAAACGTCCTCTTGCTCTCTGACTTCACCAGCCAGTCTTGATGTGAGCCACTTGACCCTGGCCCACATGCCGACACATTCTGGACTGAAATAAACTGGAAACCACATATTAAAGTGTGGTGCTATTCCCCCACAGCAGCTCAACAGGGAAACCCATTTTGTGATTTAAAAAACGAAATTGGAAGATATCCACTTGATATTGTGCTGCAGGTTGATAAACTTCACATTAAGTGTTTATTATTTAATACTTGTACCTTAATTATGTAATTCAATAAATAAAATGTTTTTGTTTTAAAACAATTTTGTTGTGGAAATATCTTATTGTGTCATCCTCATCTTTTGAGTTTTCTGGTGATCCAAGTCACAACACAGCTCATTTTACTGAATATAATACAACTGTTTTTTAAAACATCCTTAATAGAATATCTATGACCAACTACAAAATGAATGTCAGTCTGGTGTGTTGTCTAGTATTAATATTTGATATAACTTTTTACACCAGCCAAAAACCAGTTAAGTCCTAATTTGAATGACTAGTGACTCTCACAGGTACAATTGCTCAATAGTCACAACATTATTATATCTGTATTATTTACATCTAATTAGTACACAAACTCATGATTGTCTGAAGTCTTATAACTCACATAGAAAATAAATCCTTGAAGGTAAAATCAATATCATATGTAATAGTTAAAGATCCAGTGCCTGTGCAGCGTACAAACACATACATGTGTGCTGCAGCAGCAGTCTGATTAAACATCACTTCAACACCAGAGAATACACAAAGAACACTGAGTTCCCTTGAAACTTAAATAATTTATTTACCAATGAAACACCACAACAATACTGTGTTACAATACAGCATAGTGGATCACAATAACATCATCATTATCATCATTAAAACAACAACAAATACACATACAAAATTAAAGCTCTATTGTGACAGAGTTGGTGCCTAGCCTTCTTTTCCTGCTACTCAGTAAGTCCACTGGCACTAAACACGGCCAGGGTCAGGTCACCTACATTAACACTTCTTATTTGATAAGGGGGGGGCAGACTAAATAGGAAAACTAGATATTTCAAAATATAAAAAATTAAAACAGCATCAGTGCAATGTTTTTATTTTATTTAAAGAAACAAAATATAATGACCGACAGATAGATTTTGCAGTGTAGAGGGTGAAATCAAAGTTTTCTGTTGGCAAGACAACACACTGATGACACTACAAAACATTACTAGAGTGACAGGTGGCAGGTTCGTATCATTAAATAGTTCATTTTGATTCATTAAATAATTCCCCCTTCACAAGTCCCCCTCACCATGACACTTCCTTGCCACTGCTTTGCACTGTATACTATATACAGGACTTAGCCCAGCCCAAGATTGTTGTGAAGAAATTAAAACAAGCCAGAGATTTATCCGCCCCTATAGCAGAATGATAATGAATGCAGCCAGATTGTTCTCCAGAGCTTTCTGAAGAGACAGATCTGAATACGCTACTTTTTACTTGACATTCAAACTATTGTTTGAACATGGGTCTCATTTAGATATTCAGTCTGAAATGATCAGTTGACAGGACCATGAATGGATTGTGATACCCCAACCATTACATACCGTAAGATTGGGTGGGTTGCTTCGAACATATTACTTCCATTAGTAACCTGCACGCCTGCATAGCCAGAAGCAGGGGATTGTTTTTTACCCCTGCATGTGTGTGTGTTTATACTCATTTTGTTACCTCTTTAGGACCTTTTCCAGCATAAACACTGACCTAGTCAGGACCAGCAGACCTCATTGGGACCAAGGCCCAGCCCTAATGAAGCTAAATGTTATTTCTGAGGTCCTGGTTAAGGGTAGGGACAAGGTTTTGGTTCAGCTCTCCACAATGAATGGAAGTCAATGGAAAGTCCTAATTAGGATAGCTGCGCAAACCTCTGTGTGTGTACAGTATGTGTACAAAACAAATTGATGGTTGTTACATGGGAGATTACCTCCAAACTTTTGCAGACCATCAGCTAAAGTTAAGATCAACGAAAATAAAAACATACATTTTTTTCAAGATATTTCCTCAAACAAAAACACTAGAGAGACTAAAGCTTATATGGATCAAAAATATTCCCTCATCATGATGTCACATGATAAATGATGTCATAAAGAAATCACATTGCATCTTTCCAATTATTTCTGCATCCAAAAGTTTACATCGAAGTAATGATCATTGGGTAGGAATGACATCATCATCACTATGAAGTCAGAAAATGACACTATATAGTGTGGCAATAGATTTTGTCATCCATAACTTTAGCAAGATGATCTGCATCTCTTTCAGATTATCATTATCATTCATCAACATATGGTTTAAATGACAATCCCACCAATCCTTTCATTTTTACTTATTAGGTTTTTATAAGCATCTTAAACATTATGGAATGGGAAGATGTTGAAAATTATGGATACAAAACAAAGACAAACACAGAGATGAGAATGTGGTGTGACTTCAGACAGTGAATTGGGGGAGAGGGGGGTGGAAGTGGTGGGTGGCTGTTGGGGTGGGGCAATGTCTTTTTCAGGACATATAGACACTTATTATTTATACTTCCAGTGTTAGCCTTACTCTCGTGCCTCGGTGTGACAAGTTTCTGAGGTGGTGCATGTTGACAGGGCCTTCAAAATGCCATAAGATATACCAGTACAAAAACCCTGTCTGTGTAACTGCATGTATTTATGAATATAAGTATGTATGCATGTATGTTGTCACCTTCAGGCCATGCCTTTGATACCACTGCAAAATCTAAAGATTATATCTTAAAATTTGTTTGTTAAAGAATTGCTAAATATGTATTTTTACAGCTGCAAAAAAGAAACCCTACATTTAAA